TTATTTCATAATATTATATAGGCATTATTTGAATATTTTTACCCCACAGCATTAACATTCCTAGTGGTAGTAAAACACAATAGTGAATGAATGAAATATTGAATATGTATGTATATATATGTAGTCTTGTACCATGTTTCCATTTTCTTATATCACTATATTGTTGAACTCTTGTTAAGCATTTAGTTAATTCCAACACTAAGATTTAGCAACCATTCATATTTTTCTATTAGATCAAATACACTGACTGGAATATAGAAGGCTATTAATTTTTGAAAAGGGGTTGTCTGGATGAATAAGCTGTGTCACCGTTTTCAGTATCACTGCTGGCACCTAAGTACATATCAAGATAATGGCACCAAACTGTTCTAGGGGGTCCTTGTATTTTTTACCAAAGGCACTTAACTGAAAAAAATTTTTCACTTAAGAATGCCCTTAATTAAGCAATAAAAATTAATGGTTCTATTAAATCTGGATGGTTGAGTGTTTGTCTTTCAAATATTGTGTTAGACAAAATGGAAAGTGCACATAAGGAAATTCTACTGTATAATAAAGTAAAATATTATCTCCAGGAAGAACATTTGTGCAGTGGAATTTGCAGACCAGACTAGTTGCTTTCTCATGTAACACTATTTGAAAGAACAGCTGACAGGCAACATACATTTATTGAGATTTGGAGATTTGGTAGACATCTTACTGAAAATAAATGAAGTCTATAATTTCAAGGAAGCAACTAACAATATTGCCACCAATGTTAAAATGCAAGCTTTCAAATAAAAATTAGGAATTTAATAAATTTTTGTCCAGTACTATGAGATTAACCATTTACTAATACCTAGATTTTACTGATGAAATTGATAGTCATATAAACAAATGTAATTTCTTTATATCACCTATTCTCACAAAGCAAGGGGCTCACTGCTCGTTGTACATAGAAGCCTAATCATTATGACGCTGACTTTGAAAGAAGTCAGTGACTGCACGTTGACTGACAAGAATGCAGGAGGCATGCTTCAAATCTGTCTTGCTGAGGGCAGGAATTTGGGCAGTATTTAAGGGTTTGGGGAACAAAGAAAGTATAGAAAAATGTAAGTTGGCAGAGTCTAATTTGTTGCTTTCTACTGAATCATGGTGTAATTTGAATTTGGGTTCAGAACTGCAAGAAAACTGAGCACCCCTCACTTCTAAATGTTGTTTGCTTACCCATGAGCCTGATACTTTGGTTCCCTTTTTTATGAAAAGTTTTGTCCCAGGCAGCTCAGAGATGTCACCTCAAGGACTGCAAATGCTCTTCCGTACCTGTGCTCTGAAACACAACTGTCAACTTGAGAAAACTGCTGTATTGTTTTAACTGAGTTTGGGTATTTCTGTTCCATTGTCTCATTCTAATTACACAATATATGGTCAAGTCCTGCTGTTTTTGCAAGATATGCAGAAACAGGGAAAAATCACTGAAACAGGAAAATGGTTGACATAGCTCCATTTGGTTTCACCCAACCACTATGGTTTCAAAGTGTGGTAACATTTGAAAGACCGGCCAATTCAGGAAATGGTGTTTTGTAAATTACCAATGAATGATATTACAAAAGTTATGGGTTAAAGATCCAGTCAAAGTGCAAGTTAAACCAATGGATTTTAATAAAACAAAGTATAAAAAGATCACTGGCATGATTTTAGATTCTACATTGCAACCATGCTTAAAGAAATTACCGCTTGTCAGATTTTTGGTGTAATTTCAAAGACGAGTCTCCACAAATACCTGGCCAGGCTATTAAAATATTTCTCTTTTGTTCCAATTTATATCTCTGGAAGGTCAAATTTTGTCCTGAGTCTCCAAGTCAGTGGGGAAGATGGGCAGACAATAAATATATATTCCCAAATTATGCATGCTAAGGGCTAAGCAGGAAAAACACATATTATAGTAGACATAGAGATCCCAAAATATCATATAATAGTAACAGTGTATTTCAGTCAATCCTCCTGTTCTGCTCCCCACTCTGTCTCTGATGAATCCTCTCAGCACCCCCGCACCTCTGGCCTACACAGTGTAAGTAATATTTACTAAATGTATATGAATAAGCCATAATCTTACCTAAGATGAGTTAGATAATATAAACAGATAAAATTATTAATAACGACATCAAAATTCAGTTGTGAAAAAAAGTAACTATTTGTTGATAACTTGCCCTCTAAGATAGCATCCATTTCAGATAATTAGTTTTTCCTTCAAAATAAGAACCAAGACAGAATTTCTTCAATCACCACATTTATTCAAACTGACAGCACATGACTCCTATTACAAAACACTGAGAACTCCACAACATTTCTGTATTCACAAACAGCATTAATTATAAAGAAACATCAGACAAGATCAAACTGAGGGACATTCCACAAAGAAACTGGTTTGTACACTTCAAAATGTCAAGTTACAAAAGCAAAGAAAGGCTGAGGAACTGCTCCATATGAATCCTGAACCTACAGAGGACATGGTGGAATAACCTGTAAAATCCAAACGAAGTCTGTGACATGGAGGGTTATAGCATATCACATTGATTTCATCATTTTGATGACAAGTATTGTGGTTACATAGGAGAATAACTTTTAAAAAGAATGTTTACAATGACCAGTACCATCAACACTTCTGGCTCTATAGCCCATGTAGACTACAATAATGGACAACTTGGATATGATTCTCAGTTGGTTACCTGCAAGCAATCTATTATGAAAAGATGAAGAACACAGTGTAACGTGTTGACACTGAAAATGAGGATTCACAGAGCACAGTGACAGGAATAGTAAGATGGGCAGTAAAGGGAGTAAGAGTAAGAACGCATAAGCATTCAAGTACGGAATAAAAGCACTCACAAAGGCTAACTGGCCTTGGAATCACAGTAGTCATCAAGGTCACAGGTATGAGAGACATAAAAGAACAACTAGCCTCAAGCCTAAGAGTTTTTATCATTTATGATTAGAAGACCAGGGTACTATTACCAGCTTCAATAAAAACTAACTACAAATATTATTCATCAACAAAAAGGAAAAAATACTGATACACATTACAACATGAATGACCCTCAGAAACATCAAAAATGAAAGAAACCAGACAAAGACCACATAGTGTATGATCCCACTTATGAAAATGTCCATAAAAGGTTAAACTACAAAGACTAGCAGTGTCCTGAACAGGAATGGGGATTAATTGTTGTCTCCATGTGATTATAGTAAATAACTCAATTGTAATCCCTACACTGAGGATCTATGCAACTTAATTTTCTCATCTGCCATTTGGTGACAATTATAATGCCTAACTCATAAGGGCACTTTGAAGATCAAATGAGATAAAGCAGGTCAAAAGCTCAGAAAAATGCTCGAGGTATACACACACACCTCAAACACACAAGTCCAGCTTTACTATTTTAGAAAATAAAAACATGTAAAAAGGCAACATGTAATAAATTATAAACACAGGAAAAAGGCATAAGTTCATATTTAAAGATTCAAGAACAAACTATAGTTCATCCCAGATCAATTTCTTAATCAAGGTAAATCATTTTAAATGCAGTGGGAGAATTTATTAAAGACACATATAAGGTATTAAGAAAAACATAAGAAACTTAATAAATAGTGTTATTTCCCTAATAGTTAGTGTCTAAACACAGTATAAAGAAATGCTGAGACTCATCCTCAGCCTCTCTTCTTAAATTGACATTTTGATGTGTAATTCCATAATTAAATGAGTTTTCAGTAATTTCCACATTTTCTTTCTATATGAGTCCTTTATTGAGAATGGATTTCCATCTTATGTTTTTAGTCTAGTTTTTATTATAGAGTAGGCTGCTGTTCACCTTAATAATACAACCCCAGGCCAAAATAACCTATAAGTCAATACTCTGAGGTCAAAGGCACCTACTTCACTGACATACAAAGACTCTCCCATATTTTGTCCTTCATAACATATGCTATAGCGTTCGAGGCAACGAAGTTCCCTCTTCCCAGTAAGTGTCAAATGATGCTATAGATACTGCCTCCTGAACTCAATCCTGTTCATTTTCTCCTCCAGCACAGTTACCTACAAAGTGAAAAGCCACTAACCTCCACTCCAGACATATAGCTATTTTATCTGATTCTTTTTTCTGTTTGTTTCTCTATAAAGGATTCAAGTTAAACAATTGTTTGTTTAATTCTTTGAAAACAAAAAATGTCTATCTTTGGTTAAACTATTTTTCACCAGCATCACCATTTATATTCTCTAGTTATGTCTAAGACCACTTACAAAATAAATTTGTTTCAGTATTCTCAAATCCCTTAAGTATTTCTCCCGAAAGTTCTTAATATGAGAAAAAAGTGACAGATTTCAATATCTGATCATTCTAATCTTACTATCTTCAAAAACAAATTTACTCTTTAAATTGCATTATAAAAAATACATTAGTCTTCACATTTGTTATACATGGAAATATAGAATTTTTTAATATTTAAATATAGCTTCTCTTTACAAAAAAAAAAAAAGTCACTTTGGAGTCCCAGTTACACACAATTTAAATGCACAAACGCAAAGCACATTTATAAAATATCGTCCACGTACTGTATAACTTGGGCCAAATATAATAAAAATAAATGCAAGATATGAACAAGATTAATAAAATATTCCTTATGATTGTATTTTAATTATTTTACTATAAAAAGAATTTGGTGCATTCTTGATTCCACAAAAAAACATAATTTTATCTAATCTGCAAATTAAGTCAAAGTATATTTTGACAAAGGATCGCATCTTATATCCTACCAAATTTTGAGCAAATTTCATTTCTAATTTAATTTAAATTATAATTTTTACAACTTCAAGTTTTCAAGTTTGTGTAAAATAATAATGATTACAAGAACTTGGTAAACATTTCCAAAATGTTTACAAAAAATAATCAGTAATGTATTATAGTATAGTAATATACTATAGTATTATAGTATAGTATAGTAATATCAATTTTAAATACAAACCTCTTTCAAAAATGGTACTAAGAAATGTTTCTACAGTGAAAATGGTAAATTTTTTTGATTTTGTTTTCATTTGAATTACCAAAGTGTCCTCTCTGCATGGAGGTACCACAATGTATGGTTACATAATTACTTACTATATTATTTCCACATGATCTCCTTACACTAAAAGCTTACACTATGTCTACTAACAATACTTAAGGGAATTATGTGTCTACTTCATAGGAAGACAATAATACCCACATATAGAATATTTCTTATAAATTAGCTGCTGTTACCATAATTTGTAGGACAGTTTTCTTCCCAAAATTGGAGGATTATTTTAAACTAGTATTCCAATGTGATATTTTCAGAAAGGAACTTAAAAGCTCTGTATATGAAAGAAGGTTGGAGTTGCTTTGCAGCCAGAAACACAAACATGTGTCTATTATTTTCAATATAAATACTGTTTAAAATCTAGAAGAAATCACAACATACCATCAAAACACCAATAGGTTAAATAATGTCTCCTGAAATAAAGCTCCAGTTAGAAACCAACTGTTATACTATATTTCATTAATTCTAAAATATTTTTAGCCTGAAATTATCTGATTTAGTGTCAATAAAATACAGAAGTAAGACAATATAGCTAATCTTTATATTTACCTTTAACATTAATGATAGAAAAGGATCCAGTGTTACTGGATTAAGAGATTAACCTCAAGCCTAAACTCTATCTTTTTAACATCTTTTATTTGAACTATTAAAATCAGTTAGCAAGTTTAAGGAAAGCCAAACTAACATACAAATCATGGTTTTCCGCTTGCAAAGTGGGTCTAAGCTTTATTTGATCTTTTAGAATACTTACTATAGGGCCTCCCTAGTGGCGCAGGGGTTAGAGTCTCAGTGCTATCAAGCTGTTACTAGCCACTGCAGCAAGAGTGCCATGAGTTCGATCCCTGGCCAGGGAACCAACCTGCATGGCACAGCAGACCTTTCCTGTCTCACCTGGTGCTCCCCTCAGCAGTATATTCCAATAGATCTGCCTGTTCTACTCCCCACTTTGTCTCTGGTGAATTCTCTCAGGCCCCGCACCTCTGGCCTACACTCCAGTTCTTGTATGCATAAATAAATAAAAAATAAATCTTTAAAAAAAATACTGACTATAAATAATTTCTTAATAACAATAAAGATCTGCCCAAATTACCAATCCAATAATTTCAGTTCAAGCTATTAAAAATGATATGGTAATATCTAAGATAGCTTAAGAAACAAGGTTATAAAATAACCTGGACTTTCATATTAAACCACCAACCCTTCAGGTGAAAAGAAAGTAAAAGTGGTTTAAAAAAAAGCATAATCACACTGGCAAGTTCATTTTCTCCTTAGGATCTAGTAACACTAAAGAAACACCGCAGAGATTTTAAGTGTGTGTGTGTGTCCAAATGAGCATTAGAGACCTGCAGATCCAATTTAAATGCATTAGAGAGTTTGTGTATGTAAATAAAATTACCAGGCAGTTTTTCAAAACTGGATTAAAGATTATGGAATCTTATTCTCGGCAATATTTTTTTTAAAGAAAGATAAATTGTATTTTGTGATTATTTCAGTCAATCCCTCTCAAAATTTGAGGTAATTTATGTTTCCTCTTTTTTATTATCTGATTAGAATACAGTATTGACAATACCACTCTGAAAGAGACCGTAAGTATGTATTCATTTACAGCAATTTTTAAAAAGTAAAAATGTTTGCCATGTTTACAACTGCAATGTTATAGCCTGCTGATATATGAGATACAATCATGAAGAATAAATTAAGAGGGATATGATTTGAGGGACAAAATTGTACATATACTGTACCAAATTATGTGATATAAATTAAAATGAAACTCTTCTACAGTAAATGGACAAAAGGTGCTTGCGAATCTTAAAAAATAAAAATCTTCAACACTAATCTTAAATAAATATAAAAGTTCTGAAAAATATCATCTATAGCTAAATATTAATTTTCCCAACAAAGATGGAGAGCTATGTGCACTAAAGAAAGTACTAAATACATTCCACTGACCCACTGAATCGTCAACTAGCATTAAAACAAAGATTTTGCGTTTACCTTAAATTTAGTTGATAGCCTCGTGCCCATTCTATCAGAACATGGCACCACAGAACACATACTTCTTAAAGCATATACCTTAACAGGTTTAAAGGGCTTCCTTGGTTTTTTCCTACGGCATTTTCCCTTACCATTCCTCTTCCTCTTACGTTGCACAAGGTTGGGTGAAGCCTGCACAGGTTGCTTGGGAGAGGAGCTTGCAATAGCTCCCACCAGGTGCTCTTCAGGACTAGCAGATGGAACCGAGGAGCCAGAAAGTATCCTGGCTGGTATCTTGGCCTTCTTTAACCTCCTGACATCAGCTCTTTTCTTAAGGTGCATTCTAATAAAGATGTTTCTTGATTGGTACTTGTGACGCAAAAAGACAGAGAATTTGGAAGCATACTTTCGAATTATATCACTTAGTTTTGTCCGAATCCAAATCGACTGTTTTTCTGTAGCAATTCCCTTTTTTTGCTGGAGAATAATTGGTTTATGAACCATTTTAGAAAAACCTGGCATATTATTAGTTGTCACCTTCCTTCTCCGAATCTTCTTTTTACTTTCTAAAGACTTCTTTGTAACCAATTTTGGAGAGATTTTGGCAACATCATAATTGGGAAGAGTTAACTGGAAATTACTTTCCCTGGGAGCTGCACTAGAATTCAAAATCTCTGCCTCTTCCAGAGACACAGAAGATCCACTGGCCCACTCACATGCCACTGATTCATTTCTCACAAAGCTTTGCAAATCGACATTGCCATCTTCTACATTTAGGTCACTCCCATCAAAATCAGTGTTAATCCGGTCCTCTCTCTCATATTCTGGTACTACTATATTCAAAGGAGGATTACTTTCAGTTTGCCTATTCAATGGGTCGGGAGAACTCAAGGAATTCTGTTTATATCCGTACTCTATGTTAAAGCTGCAATTATTTGTCTGACTATGGGGCCTCTTTTTAGGGAGGCTGAAGGATTTATCACCTTCCTGCAGCTTAAACATATTTGAAGAAACAACACAGAGTAAGGCGTTGGGTTGCAAAGGCTTCAGAACATGAGTACCCAATTCCGGAGATTCAAGTATTCCAATTTGCACTTTCATTTTCTTTTCTCTGTCCCTCTGTGAATGCTTCCTCATTGTTAAGTCTTCCTCCTCTTGCCCAATTATTTCTGTCCCTGGGTGACTCATGACATTGGTTTGAGTTCCATGGCTGACTTTTACAGCCTGGCATCGAGATGCTCCTCGCCATGGTTGTTCATAAGGCATTTTCAATTCACAATAATGACTAAATTTATCTAAGGCCACTGAAAAGTCATCAATATCTGAAATACCTCCTGTATGATAATCATAGTCTGAGAAAACTTGAATTGATGTAGTCTCCTGATTTATATCAGCCCAGGTAACCTTTTCCCCGTTACTCAATTTTTTTTTTTTAATTTTCCTGGTCTCACAGTCATCATCAAAGTAACAGTGGAAACGACCTTCCCGGAATTCCTTCACAAGAGCACTAATTTTTATATCTTCCTCTGTCATTATTTGAGACCACGTTTTCCCCACAAATGAAGGGGGTACATGAGGCAAAGCTTCAAGAACTGGTTCATCAAGATTATTTTGTATGGCTCCTCTTCCTCCTGTTTTTCCTGGGTTCACTACAGAATCAACCACGGGAACAGAGTTTGAATGGGAATCATAGTTCTTTTCTTTCCATCCTGAATACATCTTCTTTGATACATCTGTTTTATTAACAGCTTGGTGAAGCTGGTCAGTGTCTGAATGAAAAGACGGATCACACTGAATATTCCTCCCAGAACAAGATTCACAGCTCATGAGTTCTATATTTTTACGTTTTAACTTCAAAAAATTGTCTTTATCAATCATTTGATGGATTGTTGACTCAGGAGAAGGATTCCAATCCATTGCAGAAACACTAGATTTACAGTTCTTATCTTTTAGGTCAGTATTTTCCAGATCTTTCTGAAAACTGACTTTGTCAGTTTTCTGTAGTTGGTGAACCACTGACTGAGGAGCATCTTCCCATTTAAAAAATTTTTTAGGACTACTAGAATCACAGCTCCTATCTTCTAGGGCTATATATTTCACCATTTTTTTATCAGGTCCATGTGACGGATAAGTCAAGGACTGAAGAGAGGCATCAACTTGAAAATTTATTTCAGATCCATAAGACGCACAGTTTGACTCTTGGAGAATAATATAGTCTTTCTTCTGGTTTACTACTTTGAAAGTTTCTCTAGATTGGTTTATCAGTGATCCAGAAGAAACTTCACAAACATATCCTACTGGAGAACTGTAATAGTTATGGCTCTCACCTTCTAAACAGAAACTTTCTGCATTTATACAGCTCATTTCTTTAACAGTCATTTGAGGTGAGTCAATCACTGGCTGAAAAGTGGAATCAGAATCAGGAATTATTTCACAATCATTATCACTGGTCACCAGGTCCACAAATAACATCTTTTGAAGATTTGGTTCTTTGATTGACACTCCATGTTGTTCAACTACTATATGAAGAGGAACATCAGAATCACATGATTCACTGGTCTTTTCTTCCATGTCAAGATGCTCTTCCTTCTGAAAGTTAATTTCTTTGCAACCCACTTGAGGTTCATCCACTTTTAACTGAAGACAAACCCCAGAATTACATTTTATTTCAGAAATAATAGATTTATAGTTTTTACTTTTTAGGTTATTCTGAGCTTTCTTTTGCAAATTTATTTCTCTGACAAGAGACTGATCAGCCACAAAGTGAACAGGATTATCAGAGCCATAACTTACTTCAAAATCACCTAGTTTATAGCTCTTATCTCCCAGGTAAACATGATCTTCCTTCCAAAGACTTACTTCTTTAACATCTTTTTGAAAATGGTCAGTCACTGACTGAAGATGATCACCAGAAGCAAAAGTTGTTTCAGGTCCACAAGGAACACATCTCTCATCTTTCCTATTGGCATGTTTCTCTTCTAAAAGATGAGGTTGCTCAACCACTGATTGAAGAGGGACATTTGAAACATAAATTACATCAGAATCACTGGTTTCATAGCCCTTTCCATCTAGACAAACATGTCCCTCCCTCACAAGATTTATTTCTGTAATGTCTTTGTGAATTTCATTAGCCAAAAACTGAAGAGGTTCATTACCATCAAAATTTATTTTTGAATCACTAGGCTGGACAATCTTATCTTCCAAGTCAACATGCTCCTTCCAAAGTTTGATCTCCTTAACGACTTCTTCAGTTCGACCAGATGTTGACTGAAAGATGACACCAGAATCATACACAATTTCAAAACCTTTAGATTCATCCCTCCTACCTTCCATGTCAGCTTCATCCTTCCAAAGGCTTATTTCTTTAACAGTTTCTCTAAGCTGGTCAGCCACTGACTGAACAGGGTCATCAGAACCAAAACTTATTTCAGAACTGAAAGACTGACTGTGTTTACTTTCTAGCTCAGTATGTTCCTGCTGCAAAATGTTTATTTGAGGCTGATCAACTACTGACTGGACCAAGAAACCAGAATCCAAACTCATTACACTACTACTGTATTGGCTGTTCTTTCCTTCCAAGTACACACGGCCTTCATTTTCAAGTTTCATTCGTTTAACAGCTACTTCAGGTTGATCAGCCACAAACTGAAGAGAAACATCAGAATTAAATAATTTAGAACCATGATTTTCATCAACATTATTTTTCAGGTCAATATCCTTTTCCTTACATAGGTTTGTCTTGTTAGCCACTTCCTGAAAATGTTCAGTCAATGGTTTAGGAGGGTTGTCAATATAAAAACTTATTTTACAATCATTAAATTTACTGTTTGCATCTTCCAAGTCAGTATGTTTTTCCTTCAAAAGGCTTCGTTGAGGCTGGTTAATTACTGAATGAAGAGGAGAGGCAATATCCCAATTTATTTCTAAACCTCTAGATTCAGAACTTTTTTCTTCTGGGCCAACATGGTCTTCTTTCAAAACAACAATTTGAGGTCTTTTAGTCATTAAAGGAGGGACACCAGAATTTAAAATTATTTCAGAATCACTACATGTAACACTCTTGTTTTCTTCAACAATATGCACTTCTTTCTGAACATTAATTTCTTTACCAACTACTTGAGATTCTGTCACTGAATAATGAGGTTCAGAAAACAAGTTTATTTTAGAACCACTAAATTCAGCACTTTTATCTTGGAATCTAATAGCACTCTTTTCTTTTTGAGGCCATATTTCTTTAATAACTGCTTCAGGTTTATGAGTCACTGATAAAAGAGGGACATCAGAATCCAAACTTATTTCAGAAGTACTTAATTCATTACCTTTATCTATTATGTGTTCTTCCTTCTGGTTATTTTTTTCTTTAACAGTTACATCAGGGTGATTAGTCACTAAATGAAGAGAAATATCTGATTTCAAATTGATTTCAGAATTACTAGGTTCATTATCCTTATTTTCTGATTGTATCTGCTCTTCTTTCTGACATTCTACTTCAATGGGGTCTTCAGAATGTTCATCCATTGAATAAAAAATATCGTAGTCCAAACTTAATTCAGAACTACTAGATTCATTTTCCTTATTTTCTAAGTGAACTTTCTCTTCTTTTTGAAGATGTAGCTTTTGAACAGCTACTTCAGGAGGAGATACATAAGAATCTAAATTTATTTTAGAACCACTGGGTTCATCATTCTTTCGTCCTAAGTATGCATACTCTTCCTTCTGAAACATTTCTTCGACATCTATTTTAGGCTGATCAGTTCTTGAGTAAAGAAGCGTATCAGAATTAAAAGGTATTTCAGAATTACAGGATTCATTATTCTTATTTTTCAGATCAAGAGATTCTTCTTCATAAACAGCTACTTGAGGTGGGTCAACTGAACAAAGAATAATATCAGAATCAAAGGTTATTTCAGAACTATCTGATTCACAGTTCTTATCCTTGAGGTTAATGTACTCTTTTCTTATTTCCTCAATATCTAGCTCAGAACGCTCAGTGACTGACAGAAAAGGGGGATCAGAATCAAAAGTCAAGTCACAACTGGAGCACCCACAGCTCTTAACTTCCATGTCAACATTTGACTCTTTCACATTTATTTTACCCAGAGCACCTTGAGGTTGATCATTTGTTGGCTGGTAAGGAAAATCATGAGAATTGAAACTTAGGTCAGAAAGAGTGCTAGATTTAGCACTCTTATTTGCCAAGTTAGTTGCTACTTCTTCAGAGTTTACTTCTTTAACAGCTTCTTGGAAATGGTTAGCTACTAACTGACCATCAGTGTGAGAATTCATTCCAGGGCCATATGATTCACAGTTTATATCCACTAGATTAGTTTTCTCTTTCAGAAGATTTATTCCTTCACCGGTCCTCTGAGGTTCATCAGTCACAGTATTCACAGTATTCAGAGAGACATCATAATCAAGATGTGCTGCAGTACTACTGGGTTTTTGATTCTCATTTTTCAGGTAGACATGTCTATCCTTTAGGTTTCCTTCTTTGACAGTCAGTTGGGGATGGTCAACTACTGAGTGAAGAAGAACGCAATCATCAAAACTTGTTTCAGAACAACTGGATCCATAATTCTTATCAACCAAGTCAATGTGATCCTTCTTCTGAAGTTTTGTTTCTGTGACTACCACTGGGATTTGGTGAACCACTGACTGAAGTGGGTAAAAGGTATCAGCACTTACTTCAGAGCTGCTAGATCCATAGTCCTTATCAACCAAGTCAATGTGCACCTCCTCAGGAAGGCTTACAACTTTTGCACGCTGTTGGGGGTAGTCTTCAGTTGACTGAAGTGAGGCATCACAATTAAAAGTCATCTCAGAATCACTAGATTCATAACTTTCATCAACCAGGCTAATGGGCATTGCCTTCTGAAAACTTGTTTCTTTAACAATTACATGAATTTGGTTAGAAGCCACCTGAGGAGAGCTATCAAAATCACAGCATTTCTTTTTCTTATACTGCAAATCAGCACGTACTTTACTTGAAAGGTTTCTTTCTTTAGCAATCACTTTAGATTGGTCAGTCAGTGAATGAAAAGAGGGATTATAATCAAAACTCATTTCATACCTTCTCAATTCATTGTTCTTATATTCTTGGTCAATTTGCCTTTCCTCCCAAATGTCTTGCACAAACCCTTTAGGTTGATCAGATGCTGAATGAAGAGAGCCACAACCAAACTTCATTTCAGAACTCACTGAGCTCTTATGTTCCAAAAAGGCTGACTTGTTAAAAACCAAATGCTTTTCTTCTTTCGTATGATCCATATTAGAAAGCTTCTCATGATACTTTGGAATGGCATCTTCAGGGACTCCTTTATCAGAGGGCATGTCAGTTTTATTTTGGCTTACAGTTGGGTTTACTACTAATTTGGAAAAAGGTTCACATTTTAAGGCGCCTTTAGTACCCATTACATCATGGAATTTAAAATCAGTTGTCAAAGTTTTACCCTGAATCATCAATTTATCTGAATTTATACATAAAGATCTCCTATTTGACTCCTTAGGTTTCTGATATGAAACAAAAGGAGTTTCTAGATGACACGACAGCACAGGATTTTTAGAGTTCCTGCCTAGTTGTTCAAAGTATCCATCAACTTTGTCAGGGGCGCATTTGCTAATAGAACCTACATGGACAGCTTGTGATAACTCAGTAGTATTAGTTGTGAGTGGTTTAACACAAGAATTTTCAGGTAAACAACTAGCAGGAGCATGAGAAATCACTGAGGAATATATTGAGTTTTGTCCATAATTTGCAGTTTGACCAATACCTACTTGCTGAAATTCACTCAAACCACTCCCAATTTTATGAACAAACTTCAAGGGCTGCTGTTGTCCCTTCTCTAATTTTTGAATAACTGATGGTCGGACTGAAACACCCTGTATATATTCCTGAGATTTACTAGGCCTGGAATATAACTCCTCATTAGGTTCACAATGCTTGGCTGATATTTCTCTTCTGACTCCAGCATCATTCTCAGACATTTCTTCAGAAATAACACTGTCAGTAGGAACCACTTCAGAATGTGATACAGGAAGTCTCTCATTTTGTATTGATCTAAAAAGGAAAATCCATAGAGATATTACAATATTAGTTTAAGACATATAAAGGCTATATAAGTACTTTCTTTCTATCCTGTGCCAGACTCTTAGAGGACAGAGATTCAAGACAATCACACCATGCTGTATACTATATACATTTCAGAGATAATAATGAGTGCAAAAGAAGCAGGTAGCACTACCAATTGCTGCTAAATAAGGACAAATGGCTCCCAAACATGAGAAAAACTAGTAAAATTATGTATCATTTTTCGGTTCTCAGAAGGGTAAACAGCAAAATGTTTAAGACATGTTACTTAGCCTTGTATGTTTCAGTTTCTTCCTCAAAAAAAAAAAAATACTATTTTCCTTCATGAAATTGTTTTGAGAAATAAAATAGTTATTATATGTATGAGCATTTTTTTTAATCTTCAAAATATCATTCACAAATGTTATCTAGTATTATTTTAATACACTGTTTTGGCAAAGGTGTTATATAACACAGCACTTTAATATCTGGTGACATTATATATTCATTTAATCTCTATGAAGAACAATGTGGAAATGCCCATTAAAATTGTATGGGGAATATAAAAATAAAATTTATTATTTAAAAAAAAAATTTTAAATGCCAAGAGGACTCTAAGGAGACATGACAACTTAATGTAATATGACTATTCTGGAAGGGAATCTGAGACAGATAAAAACATTAGGTTAAAACTAAGGAAATCTGAATAAACTAGAATTCAGTTAATGTATTATATTAGTGGTTCATTAATTACAACAAATGTACCATAATAATGCAAGATATTAGCACTAGGGAAAATGGATAAGGAGTTATAGAGAAACACTCTGTAATATAGTCTCAATTTTTCTGTAAATCTAAAACAGTCTTAAAAAATAATCCAGGGCCTCCCCTGGTGGCACAGTGGTTGAGCGCTGGGCTGCGAGGCTGCCCGCAGCCTCTACAGCGCCAGTTCATTCCCTGGCTGCGGGCGAGGGTCCCACAAAAAAAAAAATAAATAAAATAAAAATAGATAATATAGAGCTAGATTAACACATAAAAATACCTTTATTAAATATTTTTCAATCTGAAAGATGCCACAATTGTCTGAGAAGATCTGTACATGTGTCAGCCACATATACCTATTTTTGTAGCATGTCATAAATATTACTATTTATTTGCCATAAAATCATTATCTTAATTAAATTATAATATTGTTGGCATTTGTAAACTAAGAAAGTTAGCTCTGGTATCAAAATAATACTATGACATGGAAAAATTCTATACTTTTTTATACTTCTGAACTCTAATCAAATTTCAACACAATAACTGCTTGCCCTACTTTTTCAAAACCATAGAAGACTATCTCTACTTGTCTTAAATACTATTACAACATTCTGAAAATTAATTTTGTAACATTTGGCTATGACTAAACAGAAGAAAGGAAAGAGAAAAAGAAGGTAGAACCAAAATCAACAAATTAGCAAAATCAAAAAAAATACGAATCACCATCTAGATATTTTGAGTTTTGATTGTATTTATATGTGTGTGTTGAAAATTAACTAAATCAATTGATATTCTTAGTCATTTTAAGCTAATTTTACAAAAAAAATGGCCTTAAAATATATAACCATCAAAGGTTGAAAACATTTATATAACAGGTTAAAAAGAAAAAGTCTTAAAATTATATAAAATATATCAAAATCTATGGTATATGATAAAAATGTAAACTTCACACTTTTAAATCATCTATTTAAAAAAGGAATTAGCAAACACAAATTAATTAAATAACTCAAGAAGATATAGTAACAACCCAATTCCCAAGAAAGTTGACAAGAAAAAAATAACAAATAATGAGTTGATTTTTAATTAAATCTAAAATAATAAGAGAAAACTTACAGTGCTGAGACAAGGGGAGGGAAAAAGAAGAAATTTTTAAAAATAAACTAGAATTTAGAAAGCTTATAAACAATGTGGGATTTGTATGGAATTTAAAATATTTATGGAATGAAAATGGCATTCAAATCAAATATACACAGCCTCCTGAGTTTGGTCCCCTGCCAGCAAGGTGACCCACATTGCCCAGCGCTATCACCATTCCACTAAGCTACTTCACCTGCTTTCTTGATAATGATGTGGGTGGTGCCGCAGCACGTCCTGCAAGAAACGTTCCATCAAACTCGAGGTGGCCCTCTGTCGTCTGTTCTGTGTGGTCAAGTATCTGTGCTGACTGCTGGTCACATGCTAGAAAGAAAAAGGAAACTAAATTTTTTTTTCTGGGAACTTTTTTTTTTTTAAAATATTTTATTTTATATAATTCTTACATCATTTTTCATTTTTGTACAATGTATGCATTTTCATTTTGGTTATATTCCCCATACAATTGCACCCCCCCTTATTTTGACCCTAATCCTCCCCGCCCCCCCGCCCACAGGGTGTCTCTGGTCCACAGTTGCTTGTTGATTTTTATTTTTACTTTGTATTAATTAGTCTTTAAACTAAATGTTTTTATTTATTTATTTTTTAAGATTTATTTATTTGTTTATTTATACAAGCACTGGGTATAGTCAGAAGTGCGGGAGGGTGAGAGAATTCACCAGAGCCAGAGCGGGGAGCAAAGCAGGCAGAAGGACCAAAGTGCACTGTTGAGGGGAGCAGCGGGCGGCAGGAGAGGTCTGCGTGCCATGTGGGACCCTCCTGTGGTGGCTGGGGAGCAGCCAACCGCTGCGCCACCGGGGAGGCCCTAAACTAAATGTTTTTAAATGGATAATATTAGTAGTGAGAGTTTCACATAATGACTTCATTATATGGGCCTCAAGTATATACTCTTGTATGCATAAATAAATAAATCTTTAAAAAAAGGTGTAGTATACACACACTGGAGTACTTATTCAGTGATTAAAAAAGATAAACTCTTAGCATTTGCGGCAACATGGATGGAGCTGGAAGGGATTAAGCAAAATAAGTGAGGAGAAAAAAAGATAAATAGCAGAAGGTTTTACTTATGTGTGGAATATAGACAATCCAAATAAAGGATCATGAAAAAGACAAACCTTTCAAGCTGACCAGCATCAGAGGCATATAGCAGGGGAGAGTGAGAGAGAGGGGTCAAAACAGGGGAGGGAACAGCACAAAGGACTGTGGTGGTGGATCACCGGTACTGTGATGGTAGGAAAACTACAACGACTACACCCAAGGGGAGAATTCAAATATCATCCAAAAAATTAACAACAATGTAAGAAAATTAATTTTAAAAAAATTAAATGTTTTCTTATAAGAAAAAGGCATCTTTCATATTAATGACCCAATTGAATGATGAGAATTTGCAAAAGTAAGGACACAGTATTTGTTTGAACACAATTTTAAATCTAATTTCTGTATTTTCATCTTAAGAAAAATCTTCAAGGTTAGCCAAGAGAGTTTTTACATTTCCTGTTAGAACAGCATAATCCCCAGGGCAATGGGAGGTTCCAGGTTCCTGTCCCCCTCCAAGGAAGGGTAGAGCTGGGCTGGGGGGTAAAGACTGGGAAATGGACTGGGAAAAAAACAGCAGAGAAGCAAGCATGGTAAGAAGCAGAGAAAGGGCCTCCCTGGTGGTGCAGGCAGTTGAGCGCAGCACTGTGCTGTGAGGCTGTCCACAGCCTCTGCAGAGCCGGTTCAATCCCCGCCTGCCTCAGAGCAACTCACATGGAGAGCAGACCTCTCCTGTCTCGCCCACTGCTCCCCTCAGCAGTGTGTTTCAGTTGGTCTGCCTGTTCTGCTCCCCACTCTGTCTCTGATGGATCCTCTCGCCCTCCCACGCATCTGGACTGTACCCTGACTCTTGTATAATACAAAATAAAAAAAAAGAAGAAGAACAAGCAGAGAGAGATGGAGAAAGAAGACTGGAGGAAGCACCCAGAACAGAGAGATATGTTAAAAATGTCATGGGAGGGCCTCCCCGGTGGCGCAGCGGGTTGAGCGCAGTGCTGTGAAGCTGCCTGCCCGTAGCCTTTGCAGCACGGATTCGATTCCCAGCCGGCCAGGGCGATACTCACATAGTGCAACAGACCTCTCCTGTCTCACCCGCTGCTCCCCCCAGCAGTGTGCTCGTCAGTCTGCCTGTCCTGCTCCCCGCTCTGTCGCTTCCCGCTCTGTCTCTGGTGAATCCTCTCACACCCCATGCCTCTGGCCTGTACCCCAGTTCTTGTATAAATAAATAAATCTTTATTTAAAAAAAGACTGTCGTGGGAGAAATATCGAGATGAGGCAGGAGACACGGAGATGAAAAAACTCACCAAAAACATTCTGAAGAACAGAAAAGGGGGACTTATTAAAATACACTGCTAAGAAAAGCAATGGGAAAACAGAAGTCTGTGGGTGAAGGATTTGGGGCTCCCTTTTATAACTTGTTTGGGCAAGTTAGTGCTGGGATGTATGATCTTAGGTATCGACCTTTGACAAAGAATGTGTCCTGACCCTACTTCCTTCTACAAGGTCAAAGTGACCAATCTTATGGCCTGATTCCCATAGCAACCTTATCAATTCCCTTTTTCTATTCAAGCCTCCCAAACCTTCCCGCTGGGCAAAGGGTGGGGGCTTAGATTTTAACCTTATTAAATGATCCCCAGACAAAGAGGTCTTCTTCCATGTCCCCTCAAGTTCTTGGTGCAAGTCGAGGCCTAGAAGCAAGCAGTTTCTTCACATGTCTTGCCAATCTCCCCAGAAATCTCCAGATGCCTGCATAAAAAGGACATGCTGACCCCTGCCCATCTCTCCCTCTTTTTTTTAATGCCTTTGCATAAATACTCTTCACTGTGACAAAGAACAGGGCAGTACAGACTATGAGTCTGCTGCCCTCCTCAGTTTGCCAACAAATTAAACTACTTTCCTTCTCAAACTGTTTTCTTTTACTGGCTGAGGGAAAGTGAGACAAGCGTTTTGTAACACCCTGCCCGCCAACAGACCCGGCAACTGCAGAAGGATTTAAGCCATCTGTGGTTAGTCAGCCCTATGGGAAAGTTGGTGTCCCCAAGGTACTACTGTATGGGGAGGGGGTCCCCAGGGAAAAGGTAGGTTCCAGGAGAAGGAGAAGCTGGGGAGGGAGGAAGCAGGATGGAGAGCAGGAGGAGCCTAGAGGAGACACACGGAGCAGAGAGACATGTGAAGCAGCTGCACTTGCTTCTTGGTCTTAGACCCACTGAAACAGATGTGGGTGAGAGACCCGTGGGGAGGTTAGCAATGGCAGCGTTGATCTTGGTTTTGATTTTGCTCCTTCTGCCCCAGATGTGCTGGGCCCCTTTCTGCTCCTTTCCTATGGGTCTCCATCAAGAGGTGCTGTTAACAGGGTGGTCCCCAGGGAAAGGGGAGGTGCCAGGTTCCCTGCCCCACCCAAAGAGGGGGTGGAGCTGAGCAGGGAGGAGAAGAAGCTGGAGAGCAGACTGGGGAAGGAAGGAAGCAGGATGAAGAGCAAGAAGGAGACCTGGAGAAGAGACATGTGAAGAAGCTGCACTTGCCTTTTGGTCCTGGACTGGTTGACACAGATGTGGGAGAGAGACCCGTGGGGAAGCTAACAATGGCAGTGTTGATCTTGATTTTTGATTTTGCTCTTTTTGTTAGGGGTCATCCCATACTTGTTTGTTTCTGACCCTTTTCTATGTGTTCCTGCTAGAGGGTGCTTTAGACTTGGGGCAGCTTTCAGGCCTTGCTCTGGGTCAATCCTGCATATGGGTAACTTCGGGTGTTAGATTTAAAAACTATATCCTGGGCCTCCCTGGTGGCGCAGCGGTTGAGCGCTGGGTTGCGAAGCTGCCCGCGGCCTCTGCAGCGCCGGTTCGATCCCTGGCTGCTCCCCGGCCACCGGAGGAGGGTCCCACATGGCGCGCAGACCTCTCCTGCCGCCCGCTGCTCCCCTCAGCAGTGTACCTCGGTCCCTCTGCCTGCTCTGCTCCCCGCTCTGGCTCTGGTGAATTCTCTCACCCTCCCGCGCTTCTGACTGTACCCAGTGTATGTATAAACAAACAAACAAACAAATAAATAAATAAAAAACTTTAAAAAAAAAAAATAAATAAAAACTATATCCTTTGTCTTGTCTGTATTGCACACTAATTGTATTGAAGTTCCTTTCCATTAAAGGTCTTATATGTTTTGTTTTGTTTTGTTTTAAAGATTTATTTATTTATTTATACAAGCACTGGGTACAGTCAGAAGCGCAGGAGGGTGAGAGAATTCACCAGAGCCAGAGCGGGGAGCAGAGCAGGCAGAAGGACCGAAGTACACTGCTGAGGGGAGCAGCGGGCGGCAGGAGGGGTCTGCGCGCCATGTGGGACCCTCCTCCGGTGGCCGGGGAGCAGCCGGGTATCAAACCGGCGCTGCAGAGGCTGCAGCCTCTTCAAAACCCAGTGCTCAACCGCTGCGCCACCAGGGAGGCCCTGTTTTTTTTTTTTTTTTTTTAAAGACTGATTTATTTATGCATACAAGAACTGGGGTGTATGGGCCTCCCCTGGTGGCGCAGCGGTTGAGCGCTGGCCTGCAAAGCTGCCCGCAGCCTCTGCAGTGCTGGTTCGTTCCCCGGCCACCGGCGAGGGTCCCACAAAAAAAAAAAAAAAAAAAAAAAAAAAAAACTGGGGTGTAGACCAGAGATGCGGGGGGTGAGAGGATTCACTAGGAAAAGTGGAGAGCATAACAGGAAGATCTATTGAAATACTGAGGGGAGCAGCAGGTGAGACAGAAGTCTGCTCCACCCTGTGGGTTGCTCCTGGCCAGTGGGGGCTCGGGACCTAACTCGTGTTACAGCGGCTGGCTTGGTAATGCTTGTTAACCCCTGCACAGGCAGGGAGTCCCCATTATATGTTTTGTCTTGATGTGGCGCATGGCAGAATTTATTTAGGGCAGGTATGTTTGGGAGTTCTGGGATGCCCCTCACCCAGCCCTATTGTTGGGGGGAAAGGATGCCTTGAATGAACTTCACAAACAGGTTTTATGGACTTCACCCCCACCCCAGACCAAGGAGAGCCAAGAGACCAAGAACTACAAATCCCATAATGTCATCACCACGGAAGCGAGGATGCTGGGAACTGAGGGTGGGGTTAAGCAGCCAGGCTTGGTATATAATGTGACATGTAGCCCCTGGGGGTTGCTTGGTTTTTCTGCGGCTCTCAGCGTGCTACTGGGGTCCCAGCTCAGCGGAACTGGTAGGATGATGCATTCACCAATTCATCCCTCTCTCTTACTGAGTTATTCGTTTCTCACTTCCCCTTCTTTTGTAAATAAGCCCTTTGTTACCATTTTGCGTGTGCCTGCAGTTGAGTCTTATTATAAGTCCCCTTTAAGCATGCGGGTAAGGACCCAGCGTCAGGCCACCCATACATGGGGTTGCGCTGTAACACTATAACACTACCAAGTAGGTGCAAATGTGGTTGTGCTTCTCCCATGTGTTTGTTTCAGCTATGTGGACATTTGCTTCCTGACCCTTAGATCAGAAAAACTGGCTACAACCTGTGGAAACTGTATGCATGCAAGCTGTTTCTAGTCATTAAAAAAAATTTTTTTAAACATTTATTTATTTATGCATATAAGAACTGGGGTACAGGCCAGAGGTGTGGGGGGTGAGAGAATTCACCAGAGACAGAGCAGGGAGCAGAACAGGCAGAAGGACCGAAGTACACTGCTGAGGGGAGCAGCGGGCGAGACAGGAGAGGTCTGCGCACCATGTGGGTCACCTCCCTGGCTGGGGATCAAACTCATGGCTGGCGATAGCTTGAGAGTACTGAGACTTAACACCTTACGCCACCCAGGAGCCCCCTGTTTATAGTCATTTCTTCAGAAGTTTTGTTGGGGGAAGATTATTTTTTTTTAAGATTATTTATACAAGAACCGGGGTACAGTCAGAATCGCGGGAGGGTGAGAGTATTTACCAGAGACAGAGCGGGGAGCAGAACAGGCAGACTGAAGAAATACGCTGCTGAGGGGCGCAGCGGGCGAGACAGGTGAGGTCTGCGCGCCATGTGGGACCCTCGCCGGCCGGCCGGGATCAAACCCGCGCTGCAGAGGCTGCCGACAGCTTCCCAGCGTGGCGCTCAACCCGCTGCACCACCCGGGAGGCCCGGAAGGGCATGTTCTAGATGAACCCCACCCACTGATGCGTATGAAGTTGTTGGGTTCAGAGAGTGGGGTTCTTGTGAAGCAGGAAGTTGCTAAGTCTGCTGCTTGCTGGAGCGGAAAATTACCGCGGTGTGCCGCTTGCCCACAATAGTAGCCATGGCTTCCTTGACCGCCTTCCCAAACAATAAAGTCTATGATGAATGGGATGGCAAACTTCCGTGTACAAACTGCGTAAAACCTCACCAATCCTGGGCCTCCCCGGTGGCTCAACGGGTTGAGCACAGCGCTGTGAAGCTGTCGTAGCCTCTGCAGCACGGGTTCAATTCCCGGCCCTCCAGGGAGCAACCCACATGGGCAGCAGACCTCTCCTGCCTCGCCCCCTGCTCCCCTCAGCAGTGTTCTTGGTCCTTATGCTCCCCGCTCTGTCACTAGTGAATCCCCTCACCCTCCCTGTACCCCGGTTCTTGTATAAATAAATAAATCTTAGTAAATAAATAAATAAATCTTAAAAAAAAAAAAAAAAAACCTTACCATTCCTGCAATTTGGGGCTCAGACTTTTGGGAGCTATCCCACTGAGCCCGCCAGAGTGAGAAATAAATTTCCTCCTCTCCACCTCTCTGAGTGCTGCCTGATTTCTCTGGGAAATTGCCTTAACATTTGGATAAACACATGCCATTCGCAGCAACGTGGATGGAGCTAGAAGGAATTATGCTCAGTGAAATAAGCCAGAAGGAAAAAGAAAAATATCGGATGGTTTCACTTATAGCAGGAATATAGGGGAACCCAATAAGACATCAGTGTAAAAAAATAATAACAGTACAAAACACAACAAAGCAAAAATGGACAATTATAAATCAGAGACATCCTGCAGGGGAGGAGGGAGAGGGATCAGAGGGAGTGAGGGAGGAGCTCAGCGGACTGAGGTGATGGTGCAGGGGTGCATTGGTGGAGGAATTTCTGTGGGGACTACACCTGAGGTGGCAGAAGCAAATATTGTCTAAAAAGGAACAATGATGTAAAAAATAAATTAAAAAATTAAAAAACAAACATGTGGGTTCACTCTGGGAAAAGCTTCACCAGAGCTTCCCTTTCAGTGGCACGGGAGATTTTCCCAAGAGAGTTTCTCCATGAGACCAACGTTAGTTGTACCCAAACGGGCAGGTTTATTACAAAAGGGAGAGAATAAAGGACATGAGCGGGCAGAAAGGGCTGACCTGAAAGGGACAGACTTGCCAAAAGAGAGACCTGCATGGTCACAGGTGCGCAGTGGAAGCTGCCACTGCTGAGGGGGGTCAGTGAGGAGAAGCCCCGGCAGGTACAGGTCACGGCAGGCAGGAGGCTGCTGCCCCGCGGAGGGAGAAGGGTGGTGAAATGACGCACCTGCATAGTCACAGGTGGCCAGGATGGCTACCCAGTGCCAGTGCAGAAACTGCACTTCTCTTTGGAGGAGCCCATTCCTTGTGGCTTGGCCTGTTTGCTGTTCATTTAGGATAACCATGTAGAATTCGAAAGGGATCAGAGAATCTACAAGACCCTCAATCTTTTATCTTTACATTTGGGCTGGGCCCCATGACGCTAACAGTATCTGACACTTTGCTTGGGTCTCAGCCTTGGTGCCTAATGACTTTTGTTTCCTATATAGCTGGTTTAACGACTATGTTAGTCATTTCAACCCCCACCTCCAGCTCCTGGCATTGGGCCAGGTTTCTGGTCCGTGGGGGCTTCCTTTCCAACTTTTCTATCCCTATCCTCCATCAACCCCACTTCCTTTTTGGGGTTTGATTTTGTGGAAATTGCTTTGTGTGACAGCAAGCAATCTTTTACTCAAGGATGCCTAGTGTTGAAACTACATGGCTAGGTATGGACAGAATATGCTCCAAAATGACATTTGAGGCCTCATGGTGGGCTTCCCGTGACCAAAATAAGCAGTTTTACTCAAAAGATGGTGGTGGGGGCCTCCCTGGTGGCGCAAGGGGTTATGTGTCAGCCCTTTGAAGCTATCTGCAGCCACTGTAACTGAGTCCTGCCAGGGAGCTAACCCACACGGAGCACAGAAGACCTCTATTGTCTTGCCCGCCAGCTACTGCCCCCCTCAGCAGTGAGATTTCAGTAGATCTGCCTGTTCTGCTTCCCACTCTGTCTCTGGTGAATCCTCTCACCCTCCCTACAACCCCCGTCACCCCAGCATCTCTGGCCTATACCCCAGCTCTTGTATGCATAAATAAATCTTTTTAAAAAATATTTTAAAATAAATAAATAAATCTTTTTTTAAAAAAAAAGATGGTGGTAAGTTGTGACTCTGGACTTTTGTCTGTGGTTTCTGCTGGCTTATAGGTCTAATTAGCAATTCTGAAGATAGTGATGGATTTTGAAGTGACTACTCAGCCTCAAGGGATTTTACAACCCAACAAAGACACAGTGATCATTTGAATTAGCACATTTTATTCCTGGGTGCCAAAGGGAAAGAAGCCTTGAGCTATAACTGGTAATTGCTGATGACCTTAATGGATTCTTCAAGAATACTTGCGTTTTGCAAGGTCTGAATCAGAAAAATTAGAAAATTCTTATCTGGATAAGTTTGAAGAGGTTTGCTACTGGGAATTTTTGTCACACAAAAATTCATATTTGTGATTTGGGAATATTTGGGATTCTTTTTTTTTTTTTAAGATTTATTTATTTATGCATATAAAAACCAGGATACAGGCCAGAGGTACAGGGGATAAGAGGATTCACCAGAGACAGAGTGGGGAGCAGAACAGGCAGACTGACTGAAACACAATGCTGAGGGGGGTAGCGGCAAGACAGAAGTCTACTGCACCACGTGGGTAGCTCCCTGCTGGCCTGGGATCAAATTCGTGCCGCAGTGGCTGCGGACAGCTTCACAGTGCTGCGCTTAACCTCTTGCGCCACCAGGGAGGCCATATTTGTGATTTAATTCTTGAATTAGTTTGAGTGCTGGTGGAAGGCAAGATTCTAAGACTCTGTTTACTACTGAAGAAGGTCTGTTTTGGAAAGCATTCTATTTGATGATGAAAGAAAGCCCTATGCGCACACCAGAAATGTAGTCTATAACTTCCAAATTAACAGGCAGCCCCTTGCGATGTGCTGAAGGAAAAATCTAGTAGTCTTCCATTTGATTGATAAAAAGAAATTTTATGGGACCTCAGTAGAGCTCCAGAGACACTCCATAAAGCTCCTCCCTATCCTCAGGGGAAACATATTAGAAGAATTTGACCTATTTGGTATTTACCTAGCTAATTGGAACTTAACGGGAAGCATGGTCACTTGGGAGAAATGTGTGACTTTGGCATATTCATAAATGTTAACGTTGGTGTTCTAAAATTTATATGAAACCCTAAGTGTCTTATATGCAAACTCTTGATTTTGATTGTTGTTGTCTTACAATATTGATGGCTATTTGTATGGTTTGACATCTGTAGAAATTGTTTCTGGAGAAATTAATGGGAGAGAGACCTCAACTCATTCCAATTGCTGGAACGGGTGAGATTTACCACTGAGTACTGGGTGGGCTATTGGAAATGAGTATCATTTTTGATATGCTTTTATTCGACATAATCCAGGGGGAGTGTTTGTATTGTTTTATTTTAGCTGACCAGGATATGAAGCAATGTTATATTTTCATAAGCAGAACTAGCTTGTGTTTGCATTTTCTCTCTCCTTGAAACCAACATAATATAAAAAAGTGGTACTAATTTTTATTCATGACAATGAGCCTATTTTTGCATGTCTCCTTAAACTACAGAATTGGAAGCCTGTTTCATTACATGGCTTTGATTGAAATTACTCTAGGAGTTGAATGTGAGCTTAGCCATGAAGAGGAGACCCTTTCTACTTTGCTTATAGAAAAGGTGGGGAAGCTTGCCTCCACTGGCAGGACTGGAAAACCCTGGGAACCTCAAGAGGAAATCCCAGGTGGAGTGTGCTAAGACTGTGGCCTTGATTTAAAGCTTGCACAGACTGGATGTCGAGAGCTCACTCTAATCCTATATGGAATGTTTCAACAAAGCCAATTAAATTTGATGCTTGGTTATTCTGCCTGGAGACTTGATGGAAAAATAGGTAAAGTGG